TTTTTTTCGAATGAAGTAGGCCCGTTTCGGCCCGGCCCGTTGGGCTTAGCCCAACCCGTCCCAATGGGCTTTCTCAAGCCCGACCTATGGGTCGGGCTTGGGCTTTGAATTTTCTAAAAAAACCCGGCCCGGCCCGGCCCGATATTTTCTCTCTCCTCTTTAAAGCCCGGCCCGACCCGGCCCAAACCCGTTAAATTTGAGCCGGGCTAGCCCGGCCCGGCCCATTGACGAGCCCTAGATAGTAATGTTGAGGTACATGCCGAGCCTACTGAGCCATCTCGAGTAGGTCCCATTGATCCATCTTTACTTACGAATTTTAAAACTCACATAGCAGCTGCAATTTGGAATAACCAGGTAAGTCGTTTTACTGTGACAATAGAAGGTAGAATATAAGTATGGTTCATGGTAATTAACCTTAATATTTTTTTGTTTGGTTTAACTAGGAACGTGAGCCCCTTAGGTGCATGTCGAAGACATCTACCCTTTGTGAGTGGAATTGGAGGGGTAATCCATATAATGGTGTATTCTGTAATACCCGTGTCTTGGGGAAATGAGAACGGTGAGCAATCCCACATCGCTCGGGGAGGGAAAGGTGAAGTGCTTTAAATGTGTGGGCACTTCTCTTCCTAGCACGAGGTCTTTTGAGAGCTCATTGGCTTCGGAGTCCTAAGAACTCAGAAGTTAAGCGAGTTGGGGGCCAGAGCAATCCTAGGATGGGTGACCCACTGGGAAGTTGCTCATGAGCTCCCAAAAACAAAACCGTGAGGGCCAGAGAGGGGGCCCAAAGCAGACAATATCGTGCTAGGGGAGTTGGGTCATGACATATTCAAAGGGTACATTCAGAGGTCTGGATTAGAGCAACTTATTAGGTGTTCTTACCGGAATGTTGACAAGATTGTGGTATCTACATTTGTTGAGAGGTGGCATCCCGAACCGAACACCTTTCAGATGCCTTTTGGTGAGATGACCATCACATTGGATGATGTGTCATCTATTTTATCCTGTGTCTGGTGCAGCGGTTGCTCCTCTTGGAGATGATGACGAGACAAATTTTGAGTTGTTAGTTAAGTACTTAGGAGTGACTGATGAAGAGGCTACTGAACAATTGCACAAATACAGTGATGAGTATGTGAGTTTGTCATGGTTACAAGCGCGATTCTCCAATGTTTCAGACACAGATTCAAAGGAGTACATCATGTATTCGGCCAGAGCATATTTGTTATATCTATTGGGTTGCGCTTTGTTTGTTGACAAGACTGGCACGAGAGTCCAAATTGTGCACCTTAGACTACTTAGAAACCTTGATAGTGTTGTTGGTTATTCATGGGGTTTTGGGTGCTTAGCATGGTTGTATAGATAATTAGGCCAAGCTTCGAGGTTTAAGGTGAAGCAGATTGCTTGGTACATGACTTTGCTGGAGGCATGGGTGTATGAGCACATGCATGGTGTTGTTGTCCCTGATCATGACATATCAACGTCGTCATGGTTAATTGACTTGCTAGCATGTGTTTATTAGAACTCATGGAACTTTTGTTGTTTTGATTAGTTATTGCATGTTTGTATTAGAACTCATGGAGCTTTTGTTGTTTTAATTAATTATGAAGTTTGTATTAGAACTCATGGAACTTCTCCAGTGATGAGCTGCAAGGGCATGTTGAATTAATACAGGTAGCCAACAATCACCTATAAAGAAGCCACCACCTATACACGTAGCCAAAAATTCTTGCATAATCACAATAACATTTGTAGTTAAATTGATTGACTTAGAATTCCCAAAACACTTTAAACCCACCTAGGTGTTGAAAAAAAAATCGAACTTAAGAAATGGCTAAAAGAAAAAAAGAAAATAAAAGATGAACAACTCCCAAGGAAGCAACCAGAGCCCAAGAGTTGAAGAAAAAAAATTAAATATAATTATTCAAGAGCTTTTTGAACCAATCCTTAAATGGATTTAACCAATTGTCATATACGTATTCAAGAGCTTTTTGAAATTCACTGAACTTAGACTCAGTCTGTCGCAAACAACGCCAATATTCCTCCTCTGTTTCGGAACCAACCAAAGTATTCCAGTCCTCATTAAATTGCTTCCATTGTTTGAGGGTCCTAAATAACTTCTCGCAGTTTGCCAAACTCCTTTGTTAATATGCCATCTACATAATAAATGTCGTACTTTTGGAAATATAGATGTAATAGAATTCATGAGTGCTAACTCTCGATCGGTGACAATAACCTCAGGAAGACAATTATCATCCAAAAAACTCCTCAATGCAGTCAACGCCCATGTGTAGTTGTCTTCTCTGCATTCATATACACATACGCAACAGAGAATGTCATATTAGTAGATGTCACCCCTACAATTTGCAATAGTGGGAAACGATACCTATTAGTCTTATAGGTGCAATCCATGATAAGTACAGGTGGAAATGCACGCAAAATATCAATATTAATGGGGTGTGTCCAAAACAGGTCAGTTACAATATCACCAGATGTTCTATGCCACTCAATATAATTGTGTTCGGATAACTTAGTAAGCAATTGTTGCATTTGGGTTCTCCCAGCAAATTTTTTGGTTCTATTTCAAATCCTGGCATTGTGTATTGTCTTCATAGTTGAAACATTCATTGCATCTCTATCTTTAATGGTGACCAAAATATCTATGGGTTTCACCAAACTCTTAGACATGTCCACCAACAAGGCATTCTCCTCTATAGAAAGTCGCCCCACAAATGAATGACCTTGAAGATACTTTGAAATAGGATGGTTGTGTACTTCACAAACCACCTCCAACTTCCAATCATCCCCATCACCAATATTGACACCTTTTAACAAAAATAGGCATCCACATTTCTTGGTACCAGTGTCCCTAGCACATTTTTTCATATCACTATTTGCATCCGACCTTATATCAGTTGTCTCACTAGACTTGCAGGACTTAGGGCCAGTTTGGCATTGATGTGCTGTAAAAATAATCGCAATCAGATTTGCTGTGAGAGAAATCAGTTTGGCGTTTGGTAAATTTTTTGTTAAAAGTGTTGTTGGTATTGATTTTACCCATAATCATTAAACCCAGCGCCTCTTCGAAACTGATTCCTGCATAATCAGAAAATGAAAGCACCTTATTAGCTGCTTTTCCTTATAGCTTTCTCTCACAGCAATTTTTAACAATAAGTGATTTTCTCACAGTTTACCAAACAGGTTGGGCTTCTCAAAATTTTTAAAAAGTCACTTATCACCTCAAATAAGCAATGCCAAACTAGCACTTATAGTTACTGTTCCTCTCATAAGCAAGTATTACACGAGGACTCCTCTTGTCCTCACCTCCATAATCAGACCTTTTAATTACAATGACAATATTATTCATTTTCCCTTGTTCACGAGCCCATCTAAGTAATGCATCTCTACCATTGAATATCTACACATAAAACTCATATTATTTAAACATAAAATTTGAAACATTAATGCCACATTAATGATACTGAAAAGGATTTCAGAAAGATAATTGCCGAATAAGTTGTGAATTGATCACTACAGTCCATTACACATTTTGTTCCCACATTGTTGCCTTCAGTAGGGATGTCACCTTGTTTTTGTTCTTTCAATGGGAGTAAGATTAAAATAGTTTGGATTAAATTTGTGGTCGGCAATAAGTTACTAAAAATATAAATAAATTTCAGTTGGATGCCACTAAAACGCAAGTACAAGTTCGGTATTGAATCGCTGAACTATCTTCCATCTTACGGTGGATCTCCACCGAAAATATTAAGTTCATGTCCGGTCAAGCCCAACCGAAAATACTGCGACGTTTCGGTGGCATCCCATCGAATTTACCTGTCACGTTCGGTACTGATGTGCTGAATACAATCAGCGACCATTATGAAATACTAAACTTGCAAAACGCCAAAAAATAAACTCGTACATCATTCAAAGCCTCTCTAACTTCAATCTCACCCTTCATGAATAAAGACAATATAATTTTTCACTAGTATAAATGTATAAATCTAGAGAACATGATAGTTTGAGAAAAAAGTCAAAACTAGGGTTGCATGAACATATGTGGGGTGTAGTGAGCAATTTTAATTTTAATTTTAAATTTTTTTGTCCTTAACGGTAATTATGTACAAGGGTAAAATAGGTTATTCATATTTAAAATTAGTATGGGGTGTAAAGAGCAAATAATGGGGTGCCAATAAAATCACCATTACACCTCCAGGGGTTGTAAATACGTTTTTTGCTCAAATAGGAAACGATGTAAATCGAAAGATGCATATTCGATTTGTTTGTGATAATTCTTTTGTGTGTGTGTGTGTTTTTTCTTTTGTATGTTTTAACTTTTTAAAATTAATTTTGTGCGTGTTAGATTTATTTTATTTTTCCAAATAAATGGACCTAAAACAATTTAAATTTGGAGAACATATGATTTTACCTACAAACTAACATAAAAATATGGGAGACTTTGGAAAAACACAAAGGAGAGAGAAATTTTGTAAAAGAAGCCAAAATGGACAAAATTGCCCTTATTTATTTTTGGATTTCCTAAGGAATCATTTACATTTGCATGTCTTTGATTTGAAAGTTGAGAGGTTTTTCTGTCTTTTTTGAAAAAGCTTTGGCTTTTTCCAAAAGTGAAATTTTTTTTTTTGGTTAAAACCTAAATTTACTTAAAAGTATCTATGTAGAAATGTAGGCCATTGGAAGTGCAATGCAAATTGCATGAAATCTAGGCCTTTCATTTTGAATTTCAATCCTTCTCTTTCCCTTTTTCTCTTGTGGGTCCCACCTACAAAGAATGTAAAAAAAAGATGCAAATGTGCATCTAATTTTACATATTCATGGTGGGGGTGTATTTTTACAACCATTTACATATTCCCATTGGAGATGATTCCGGCAACAAAAGGTGTATATTTAACATACACCCCCTTATACACCCTCCCATTGTGGATGCTCTTAGTAGTGTGTTTCAACCTACATTGGATCCAGAATTTTAAGAGTTATGAAAATAAAATAAAATAAATTAAGACCAATAAATAAATAAATAACTCAAAGAAACAATGGAAGAGAAAAGGGAGGGCCCTTCAATTGGGATTGTCCACGGGTTGAGGTCTTTGTGGCTTTAGTTAAGAAGGGGATAGTAATTGGGAAATTTCCGTCCACGGGGATAGTCTTTGTGGATTTTTATTTTTAGGGTACAAATTATATATATACTAAAGTTCAACCCAACTAAACACTGTTCCTAAGCACAGTATAATGACGGAAATGCCCCTCATTTTGCTATTGTTTTTGTTTTGTTTTCTCTTCATAACAGTAAATTGACGAAAATGCCCTCAACTAAACATCTTCTTCTGTTCCCTTTTTGCCCCTTTCCCTCCGGTGCGAACGTTTCGTTCGCTCAGAGAAGGCGTCCATTTTCAGTCCATTTCGAACCAGCTGGTGGGGGGGCAGCTATGGAAGATCTGC